AAACATTCGACAAAATCAACACAATGTCAGATAATTCTCGCACGAGCTCAAACAATCGGCACTTCAGAACATCTAGCAGCTCGGTTAGGGCGGTAGTCTGCGAGCATGGTGTGGAAGGAGATGTGTTAACATCAATGATGATATAGGATATTATACCCACAAGGCTGAACCGGTCTGTTGACCGGTCGAGGAGGTCGTATTATGAGGAAGCCAAAGGAATCGAGCAGTCAACCAGTCGACCAAGCAAGGCTGTCGACCAAACTATCCTTCGACCAGATACACGATCGAGCAACCTATTCGACCTCAGCAGGTCGATTACTTCGAGGACTTAACACCACGCTGTTCGGCCTAGTCATAGACGCGTGAAGGAGCCTCTGACAGAATTCCAGAAGAATATTTATCCCATGTGCAGGGGGACACGTGTCGAAGAGGCAGTGGTGAATATCGATAACCACCTCTAACAGCTTACCCCATGTGCAGGAGGACACGCGTCCAAAGAGGATTGGTGCAGGCGATAGTGGCGACGGCTACCTCTGACACACGCGTTTGGTGTGTACGGACGGGCAGTTAGGGCAGACAGCTCATCAAATCCGGGCAGCCCTAGGTCAGGTATCTCACCCCTATATAAAGGGGGTGAGCCTTTCTTCTTCAACACGATCATTCTATTATTGACTCTTGAGAATTGATTGAGCATACACTGACTTAAGCTTCGGAGGCTCTTCACCGGAAAACCCCTCCGGTGTGAGAGTTCCTTGTAGGTGCACGACGTTCAAACCGGCGAGAAGGAAGGCGATTATTCGGTTTCTAGCCGGTCGGGAAGTTTTGTGTTACCATTTGGCGCTTTCTGTGGGACTTTCGTTTGAAAAGGTGTGCTTGAAGCTCAGCTATGGCAGACGGAATTCCCAAGAACTTACAGTCAACATTCGATGATGCTTGGACAACGACCAGGCCGTTGGGACAGGGTCCTCCCCCAGGTTTTTCTGGCCCATCGCAGACGCCGGTCACTCCCGTACCTGTGCTCCAAGGTGTAGGAGTGGCAACGGTGATTCCCGGAGGAGACGCCAGCCCCAACCGTGCTCACAAGGCCCGCGCAGCGGATGCGGCGGCGATGCCACCACCACCACCACAAAGCTCAACGGCAGCGCAACCGGGAGGAACGGGGATGCAACCAGAAGGAGCGGTGGCCCAAGGAGGAGCACCGCCGCGAGCAGTGGTTCAGGTCCCCGACCAGCAGGTGCTAATGACCAGACAGGAGATGCAACAAATGGTGGCGGAGGCAGCCGCGCAAGCAGTTCAGCAAGTCAAAAAAAGTCTCTCTCGGGCTACAGCAACACCGAACACTGTTGCAGGGTCACGCCAAAACGTGGAGGAGGATGAGTCCAGCTATGGGGGAGGTGGGCCCACACATGACCGGGAGATGGAGAGGATGGCAGAACAGCTGCGCCAATTGCAGGCTAATGTCGATGGTCGAGCGGAGAGGCGCGCTCGAGGACACCCGTTTTCGGCGGACATACTGGCAGCACCCTTGCCAAGTAATTACAAGGATACCAACTTGGTGTTCGATGGGAATTCCGACCCGTCAAGACACGTGAGGACATTTGAAAATATGGCGGTGTTGCATGGATATACTGATCCTGTTAGCTGCAGGGCCTTTTTATCGACCCTTAGGGGAGGGGCGCTCGACTGGTTCCAACAGCTCCCCCTAGGCTCGATTGTGGACTTCGGGGATTTTGCGGAGAAGTTGACAAATCAATATTCAAGGGTAGTGGCTCAGGAGAAGACGTATTTGACACTGATGGCGATGAAACAAGGCGAGAAAGAATCACTGCGTAAATATGTCGCTCGATACAACCAGGCTTGCTTGGAAATTTCGTCGGCTGTCGATGAGGTCAAGGCGGGAGGATTAATTAGGAGTTTGTGGGCAGGACCGTGTCGAACTTCTCTGGCTAAGACTCCTGCTCATACATATGATGAGGTGCTGAGGAGGTGTAGGAAATATATTAATCTCGAGGAAACCGAGGCAGAATTTGCCAAGCTGGAGGAGTTGGGTCGGCGGGAGTCGAGGAAGGAGAAAGCAGTTTCGCCTAAGAGGAGAGCCTCGCCCAGGAGAGAGGGGCGAGCCAAGCAGGATCGAGGACGAGAAGACAGATGGAAGGACCGACCAATCTCTGGAGGGAAAAGATTCCATGATTACACCCCACTGAACGCAAAGGTGGCTGAGGTCTTGATGGCCATGGAAAAGGGAATGGATGGGAAAGATGTGACGTGGCCAAGGTCGAGGTTCGAGGGGCCAACCCAACCAAAGTCGAAGAGATACTGCCGCTTCCACAGGGACTATGGCCATACTACTTGTTGTTACATGGAAATTAACAACAACCAAATTGGGGTGTATTTTAAGTAGATCTAAATATTTAGCGATGGAAAGTTTGCATATTATTTCTGGAAATGTAATTTGTAGCCGGGTGGTATTCTTATCTGTTTGGGAAATTCCCTATTTCCCTTTTATATTTACATACCATAATTATCTGTACAATAATCATTACATTTTGAAAGGTCAAAGGCGGTCCTTGGTGGTTTCTCTTGATAGCTTGCCACTTGGATAAACGTAATGATGAATTATGCTGAGTTGTCGCCGCCTTATCATGCTGAGCTGGCATGTTATAGATATCGGTCCACCCAATTATAACCGGTACATCGTGGCTGATATGTAGCAACCGACATGTGTTGACCGACATGTGTTGACCGACATGTGATATCGGTCAACTTAGTAAGGATGTCGGTTTCTGCTGAATCTTTCATTGTGTAATCATCTTGAAGCTGGTGGAAGTGTCTCGTGCTTGTATGAGCTCTAATTATCATCATATTGGTCTCGATCAACGGATTAGTGTCGCTTAATCCGACTTTCAGAAAATGATATCAACACTACTGAGGATTGTCGGCATCTCAAGGACGAGATCGAGCGCCTTATTCAAGCAGGGCATCTCAAGGAGTTTGTCTATCAGGATAAGGGGAGGAGGAAGGAGAAGAGAAGGTGTCGGGAGGACTCCTTGGGGAGGAGCGAGGAGGATGATGATGAGGATGCACGAGGTGGTCAAGATGGTCGGAAAAGAGATGAGGGGAAAAGGAGGCGAGGAAGTAGGGAGCGAGAAAGAGAAGGAGATGGAGGTCAAGTGAAGAGAGGCACGATATATATGATTTCAGGAGGACCGACGGATGGCGACTCGAATAACGCAAGGAGAGGCCATGTTCGAGCAATGAAAAGGAAGAGAGAGGAGGTGGGTATCACGGCCCGGGTACCAGAAATCAGTTTTCGAGCAGAAGATGCAGCAGGGGTGGTAGTATCTCACAATGATGCCCTGGTAATTACGGCTGAAGTCGCAGGTTTTGATGTGAAGAGGGTGTTTATAGACACAGGGAGTTCGGTTGATGTCATGTTTTATGATTGCTTTGTGCAAATCAATCGGGAGTTGAATGTGGAGCTGAAGCCGGTGGCCACGGCCTTGTATGGTTTTAATGGCGGGGAGGTTATGCCGATGGGGGAAGTGAGTCTATCTGTAGCACTGGGAAAAGGAGCAACCCGGAAGGTTCAAATGGTGAGATTTCTGGTCGTAGGAGCTGAATCATCCTACAACATCATAATGGGGAGAACGAGCCTAAACGCTTTCCAGGCGGTCGTGTCCACGTACCACATGACGATCAAATATCCGGTGGGCAAAAACGTTGCGAGATCGCTGGGGATCAACTTACCTCGAGAAGCTGCTACCAGACCACTGTGAGCAACAACAAGCAATTAGCAAGGAGGCAGTTGCATCCTGAAGGGGAGGAAGTTAATCGACCAGGAGGGTCGAGATTGAAGGAGGAGGGGCATAAGAAGGAGAACATAGAAATACAGTCGGGTGGTGAAGTGGAGGAAATACAGATGGTCGAGGGGTGTGAGGAGAGGAAATTCTAGATCGGGAAGGAATTGGAGGAGCCAGTAAAATCGAGGCTAATTAAGGTGATAAGAGATTTTGCGGATGTGTTCGCATACTCGACGGAGGAGTTGACTGGCATCAAGGCAGAAGTTATCGAGCACCGGTTGAACATTGACCTCACTGTAAGACCAGTGAAGCAAAAAAGGAGACACCACAGAACAGAAATGGATAAAGTAATCGAGGCAGAGGTAGAAAAACTCTTGGTGGTAGGCCACATAAAGGAGATCTAGTTCCCAGAATGGCTGTCGAATACGGTTATGGTCTCGAAGTCAGAAGGGAAATGGCAGATGTGCATAGATTTTCGAGATTTGAACAAGGCATGCCCGAAGGATTTATACCCGCTGCCCCGGATCGACCAGCTGGTCGACTCTACAGCCGGGTGTGAGCTGCTCAGTTTGATGGATGCATCCCAGGGTTATCATCAGATCCCGCTAGCCCGAGATGATTGGAAAAGGGTCAGGTTTGTCACAAGTCGTGGAACATACTGCTATGTGGTGATGCCATTCGATCTAAAGAATGCAGGGGCGACATATCAAAGGTTGGTGGATAAAGTTTTTAAGGATCAGCTGGGAAGGAACATGGAAGTATATGTAGATGACATGCTGGTAAAGAGCAAAGAGGAAATCGACCATGTGAACGACTTGAAAGAAACGTTCATGACCCTCCGGAAGTTTGGGATGAAGCTGAATCCCGCTAAGTGCTCATTCGGGGTCAAATCGGGAAAATTTTTGGGCTACATGGTCACGAAGAGGGGGATCGAGGCCAACCCGGAAAAAGTGAGGGCGGTAATCGAGATGCAGCCCCCCACAAAGGTGAAAGAGGTGCAGATCTTAACGGGTCGAATAGCAGGCCTGAGCCGCTTTATTTCTAAAGTAGCTGAGAAAAGCAGGCCCTTATTTAAGACGCTCAGGAAAAGCTCAAAATTCCAATGGACAGACGAAGCCCAGAAAGCATTCGAGGAGTTGCAAAAGGTGTTGGTCGATCTACTATTATTGGCGAAACCAGTGCCAGATGAGGACTTGGTGTTGTATGTATCCATCGGTGAGACGGCAGTGAGCTCTGTGTTACTGCGGGAGGAAGGGACAGCCCAATTTCCGATCTATTACGTAAGTAAAGTGATGCAAGGGGCGGAGAGGAGGTACTCAGAGATTGAAAAAGGGGCCTTGGCAATGGTGGTCACTGTAAGGAAGCTGAGACCATATTTTTTGGGACATAGAGTGAAAGTCCGAACGAACATGCCATTGGGAAAAACACTGGGTCGACCCTCCGTGTCGGGGCGGTTAGTCAAATGGGCGGTCGAGCTGAATGAATACACGATTATCTACGAGCCAAGGAGGGCGATTAAGGCTCAAGCGTTGGCTGACTTTATACAAGAAGGGACGAAGGAGAGCGAGGAGTCTGAAGGGGTGTGGCAAGTGTTTGCAGATGGATCGGTGTCGGGGGTTGGAGGTGGTCTAGGCATCGTACTTATGTCGCCGAAAGGTGACAGCCTGGAGTTCGCAATCAAGGTGGCCTACCAGATATCAAATAATGAAGCGGAATACGAAGCGGTCATTAAGGGACTCAAACTGGCCTTAAGTGGCGGAGCTCGAGCAGTGCAGGTGCATTTAGACTCACAATTGGTGGTAGGTCAATTCCAGGAAGGGTTCGAGCTCCGGGAGGAAAGGATGATGAAGTATGTGGAGAGTTTGATTCTTTCGAATTAATCCAGATACCTCGAGGAGAAAATGGTCGAGCAGATCTGTTGGCTAAAATAGCACAAAGTCTGGTGGACTGCAAGAGCAGAAGTGTGACCTTGCTGCACATGAAGAAGAGTGTGGTCGAGAAGGAGGTGGTCAAGATAGAAGAAGTCGAGGATTGGAGGGCGCCGATAACAAAAGAATTGAAGGGAGGAGCTGTTAAAGTGATAAGGAGATTTTTTTAGCATGGAGGAATTCTCTACAAAAGGTCGCACGCGGGCCCACACTTGCGATGTGTAACCGGAGAAGAGGGGCGATACGTGTTGAAGGAGATTCATGAGGGCTGCTGCAGTGACCACAGCAAGGCGGGTTCCTTGGTAGCAAAGGCTCTAAGAGCAGGATATTTCTGGCCAACAATGAGAGAAGATGCCAAGGAGATGGTGCAGAAGTGTTTGCAATGCCAAAAGCACGGCCCACTTATTCACCAGCCGGCCGAAGCCATGACGACGATGAGTTCTCCCATCCCGTTCGCCCAATGGGGGATCGACCTGGTTGGGCCCATGCCCCAAGGAACCGGACAGAGGAAGTTCTTGATTGTCGCGGTCGATTATTTCACGAAGTGGGTGGTGGCTGAACCTCTGGCAAAGATCACGGAGGAGAAAGTGATACATTTCCTATATGATAACATATGTTGCAGGTTCGGAGTTCCTAAAGTGTTGGTGTCGGATAATGGGACACAGTTCAATGGCAAACGGATTCGGGCATGGTGCGAGGACATGAAAATTGATCAACATTTCGCTTCAGTCGCACACCCGCAGGCCAACGGGCAGGTCGAAG